CATGGCTACTGAACTTAAAATCTTACAAGATAAACCAAGCTTAAATCTTCCTCCTAGTAAGAGTGTTATAGGTTGCAAATGGGTCTATAAGACCAAATTTCATGCTGATGGGACTATGGAAAGATATAAGCCAAAGTTATCATAAAGGGGTTTAATCAGTTAGAGGAAGTTGATTATTTTGATACTTATTTACCAGTGGTAAGACTCACAATAATTTAGAGTGTACTTGCAATTGCCACTATCAAAGGTTATTTATTAGAGCAACTTGATGTTAATAACGCATTCCTACATGAAGATCTTCATAAGGAAGTTTACATGATTACTCCACCAAGGTTTAAAACCTCCCATCCAAACCAAGTTTGCAAGTTATACAAAACAATTTATAGTTTGAAACAATCTAGCAAAAAGTGGTATTCCAAGTTATCATATGCTCTTCTTTCCCTTGGACATGTTCAATCCAATGCTAACCATTCCTTATTTGTTATAGAATCAGGTTCAAGCTTTACTATGATTTTGGTATATGTCAATAATGTCTTGTTGACTGGTAATTCACAATAAGAAACAATCAATGTTAAATAATACCTTGATGGGAAATTTAGGATCAAGGATCTAGGCCCTCTCAAATTCTTCCTTGGCATTGAAGTTTCTCAAAGCAAGATTAAGATTTATATCAATAAGAGAAAGTATATCTTAGACTTACTCTCAGACACTGGCTTATTGGCTACTAAGTCGTGTTCCACACCAATAGATCCTATTTGCAAATTTTACAGTGATCAAGGCTCCCCTTATCATGACTTGTTTTCATTTCATTGGTTGATAGGGAGACTATTATATTTGACAAATATTAAGCTTGATATATGTTTCATTGTTCAGCAACCTAGTCAATATGTTTCAAGGCCCATGGAAGCTCATTATAGTGTTGCTATATGCATCCTAAAATATCTTAAGATGTCACTTACCAAGGGTATTTTTTTATCTATTGATTCAGATTTTAGCCTTAAAGGCTTTGTTGATTCTAATTGGGCATCTTGTCCAAGCTCTAGAAAATCAACCCCTGGTATTTGTCTTTTTTGATGCAACTCTCTTCTTGCTTGGAAGTCAAAGAAACAAACTACAATTTTGAGATCTTTGAGTTAGGCAAAGTATTGGGCACTGGCATCTATCTCTTATGAGATTCAATGGCTACATTTCTTATTCAACAATTTCAAATCAAAATGCAATTGTCATATTCTATCTACTATGATAACAAGTCTATTATTACGTTGCACAAAATCACTCCTTTCATGAGAGAACTAAGCATATTGAAATTGATTGCAATGTAGTTCAAGAAAGATTGCAATGTGGTCTCATTCGGTTATTGCTTATTCCTTCTGCTGTAACGTCCCAAATTTTGTAATATAGTTTGGTTATTAATATAAGTGTTTGCGTTGACTTTTCCGTGTTGTATATTTATAATATATAAACATATATATGTATGCACTTGAGTGTGTGATGAACTTTGAATGTTGGTGTGTATAAATGCTTATGGACGCGTATAAATATATTTGTATATAATTGGATTGGACTGATTGGGCTAAAAATCAGGTTAAGGGTGTAATACTGGGGCATTCTCGCTGTAGTGAGAGGGCTCTGGGAAGAAGGCATGAAACTGTCGCCTTCTTGTTGCAGCGAGAGGTTCTTCGCTGTAGCGACAAAACAACAGTTTTGAGTGCATTTCTGGGTATAGTCTTGCTGTAGCGAGAGGGTCTTGCTGTAATAAGATTCTGCAGAAACCAGAATACAATTCCCTTTGAGATTTTTGCGGTAGCGATAGAGGGTGTCACTGCAGCGAGGTTCCTCACTATAGCAAGAGTGTCGCGACCAGAAGAGAATTTAAAGGGGTTAGGGTTTGGGGAAGCTTTATTTCTCACTTTTCCTTCGAGATTTCTTCGATTCCCTCACTCCCAAATCCTATTTCACTGATTAAATTGCCTCCAAAGTCGTTCGTAAGCTAAATTGAAGGTTGGATTCATGTTGGGGACGCTTGAAGGTGAGTTTTAATGGTTAGGGTTTCGGTTTCTCATCCCTATCCTTTGATTTCTCAGTTTCTGTGAGTTCTCATGGGGTTCTTCCATGTATTTAGGTCAAAGTTCGTGTGGGGGAACGTCTACCTTGTTGTTTTGGTGTATGGGTCTTCACTTGAAGTAAGGGGGGACTCTACCCTATCTCATTATGTTTAATTTACCGTTTATTTCGTTGAATGTTATGATGTGGCTGAGATAGAGAGTAGGAAATGTGTGATTTGATGAAAATTATTATGTGTTTGGAGTGAAATGTGAATTGATTATGGGGTTGACATAACCTTGATTGAGAATGTGTGTGAGCATATTGAGGAATGATGATTGAATAGTGTAAATGGTTGGAAATGGATATGGATGACCTGTTGATATGTTGTATGATGGAATAATGGCATATGTACCGAGTATTGTGAATGAATTATGAGCTTGTGTGTTGTGTACTGTAGATGAATGTGGGCCCCTATACCGTGTAATGTGATTAAACGTGGACAAAGTATGTCGTGTATGATATATTATGGATGGTTCAGCGATACATTAGGGGTGTAGAAGATGGGGACGGTAAAGATACCTTGGGGAAGAAAGAGTGGTGGTGACACCAACAGTGAGTGTGGGTGCACCACAGGCCACACACTCTCCTCCTAACTAAACCCCTGACCAACACCTTTGCTGAGCACCTATGACTGCCCACGCGGTATCTATGAGACGGGAGTAATCGACGACCATTCATGATGTGAAACTGTGATCACAGTGCCACAGTGAGCATGGTTAGGTGTAGTAAATGCATGTGCGTGAAATGTTGGTGCAGTGGGTGCACTGGTTGTGTTTTGAATTGAAATAGATGATGAATGATGATTATGATTGAGACTGAGATGCTTATATTGTGGAAGCATAATTTAAATTACGTTAGTAAATGTGTAGTGTTTGAGGTGAGTCTCTATATTTATATGTGTTGGGTAGTGTAGAATACTCACCCTTACATTTATTTTTCAGGTAACCAAGACTAACAACACCAGACTCAATGAAGAAAGGATGAACTGCTATAGAACTTATATTGTATTTTGAAATTATGATATAACTGAATTAGTCATGTAGCAATCTTTGATCTAAATTTGTAATCCTTTATTGTTTTGAATTGTTTTATGAAACTCTATGATGAGATATTTTTATTTAAATGAAAATTTTATTACTCCCATTTTACAAAATTATTACTTGAAAATTAATTTAAGGTGTTACATCTGTTCAATTGGCTAATTTCTTTACTAAGGTCCAACAACTAGTTTTTTGATAGGATTGTAACCAAGTTGGAATTTGTAGACATACATAGTCCAACTTGAAGGAGACTCTTACCTTATTACCTTTCTATTATGTTCTAATCTCACCATAATTTTGTCATTACTTTTTTTTCGGTTTGTTATGCTATTATATAAATAGCTTTTTCATTGTAAAATTGTGTGTGTATTTAGACTTTTATAATTCAGTTGAAATGTAAAGCAATAAAAAAAGGTTAAAGGCCTGGAGTCAGCCTTACCTAACTTTTAAATAATCTTTTAAGCCTTGTTCTCATTCATCTATAGAATACACTTATTATAACTTGAATAAGATTTTTTTAAGGCTTTTCTCTCGTAATAACAAGTGTCTTCTGTCGTTGATCCTAGTGGGAAGGCTCAACCGCAACAAGTCACTCGTAGATCGGCTAAGTCACCACTCGACTAATGTGAAGCTTAAACCAATCAATCAAGAGTAGGTAAAAAAATATTGCATTTAATTTCCATTAGATTAGCTATTGCAGGCCCGAATCTAACTAAACTCATCTTATGTAAATGCGGCATTTTAGTTTGATTTATTCAAGAGATGTTCCACTTTAGTTTAATTTCATATAGTAATTAACTGAACATCACATTAACGCTCCATGTTGCATCATTTCACCCCAACTAGTATTTTGACTAACACATTGATGGATTATAGAACTACTCTTCATTAGTAACTAGATTATTTAATTAAACTATTATTTAGTTAAAGGAGTTGTACCAACTGAATAAAAAAATTCTGACAAAAATAATTTTTCGATATATTTTATTGGTCCACCTTTTTTAAGCCCCAAAACACATAAGATGTGGGGGCCAGGTTTGGTACGCAGACATCTTTTTTTTTTTTTTTGACATTAAAGAAGCCCATAACTTATGATAATAATAATAATAGTAAATTATTTTTTAATAATATTGGTTTTATTAAAAAGATATAATTACTAACGACGAGTATTCTACAATTCATCAATGGGTTAATCAAAATACTAGTTGGAGTGAAATGATGTGACATGGAGTGTTAATGTGATGTTCAGTTACTATATGTTGAAAAAATTACTTACTATATGAAATTAAACTAAAATGGAACATCTCAATTAAAAGGAACGCACCTTTACTGGAGTATTAACCTGTTGCTTCAGTTGGCCGAAAGGCGACAAGTCTTGAATGAATTTTGACACTTAAACGAGATATGATGACAAAGTATACTATATGTGTAGAGAAAAGATAAAACTAATTTATTCACTTAAACTTTACACAATATTATGGTAGTTTGGATAAATTTTCATAGAAGTTTATATAAGAAAAATCAATATAAAAATAAATAAAATTTCTTTGATAAGTTAGAAACACTGATAATTTTTTATTTTATTTTTTAAAATGCTTTTCATTTACCTTAATCAAACTAAATCTATATTCGAAATGAGCTAACACGATAGTGAGGTTTTATTTGGATTGAAAAAAAAAAAAACACCCGCAAATTACATATAAAAATTTAGTTTAATGACAACATCATCACCAATACCACCCTGTCACTAACGAGGAAGATGCTCCTATCCGAACTCAGGGTGAAGCAGTAGGAGCGGATACAATGTACACCTTCATTCCTCGTCACACCATCGAAAATGGGAAGAAAAATGAAAGACAACAAACACAATTATTATATTATAAATACAATATCCCAGTGTGGAAGTTAATACTAACAGAACCATCCCTTCTGTGATGCAAAACAAAAGTATACAAAAAAATTTAAAGATGTCAGGTACCAGTAGCACAACCCACCATCTTAAGGTATTCCAAAATACTCCTATGATCTAAATATTTTAAAAGACAAATTAACAGCAGTGAATCATTTTTTACAAATAAACACGAATAATGGTTTGTTGTTTAATTATGGGTTCCATCCATACCCAATGAAATATTTCTATTTCCATTGCTTAGGTACCCTTTTAATCTTCAAGAGTTTGTACATTGGTGCAGTGTCAGTGAAAAGTCTTCTTCCATCCCTTGATGTTGATTCATGTTTCCATGCCGGTCCAATAAGCCATGACGCAGCAACTCCACCACCCAAGCCTCCTAACTGAAATAATACTTCTAATAATTTGTTTAAGAACGCGCCAGCAATAGAAAAGAAACTAGACACGGGTTCGGATGGTTTAATTATTGAAACTGTAACATTAAGATCTCACCAATGCCTATTTGCAAAAATATAACAGTTATGCACAGGAAATAAAATTGATGGACTGTTTTTAATACTATCTATATGCACATGGTTTTGGTAGGGGGCTAGGGGCTAGGGGCTAGTGTATCAAGTTATCAACCAAAATTTAGAGCCTTTAGTGGTTCATGCGATGTTGTAAAAAGTGCTTGGGGTATCAAGCATGAAATACCCTACATTTGTATGGCCAACAACTGTTACCAAACAAATAAACTAAGTGGATAAAATCTAAGGGCAGTCAAAAAGTTAACTGCTGTACACTCGTTAACTTGCAAACAATTACCTTTAATTGAAGAAAAAAAATCAGAAAATGTGAGATATAAAGCAATGCTACACTTACATGTCCCCAATTGTCAATCCCATTGGACAAAAGCCCAATAACCTGCATGAGAAATGCTTGTCCCCGTTAGAACACAAGGACAAGAAAAGAAGGCAATGACAACTGTAGCAGCTCCTCTACAAGTCATAATCATAGAATGGTGATATAAGTTAAAAGGATCCCTACATAACATTGCATTAAACAACACTCTTCCCCAACACATTTCCTAATTAAGCATATAACACAATAATATACAAGTAAATTCGTACAAAATTTCATGCAAAAACTGTTTCCTACTGCCTAATCAAGAGCATGTCCTAACGTAAAAGCAACAAGTTAGCAAAATCAGAAGAGATAGAGCACCTTAACTAAGGAATGAGAAAACAAACCCTACTGATTTTAAGTGATAACTCAATCCAATGGGCTTAGAAGAAATTATATCATTCACCCGAGAACTGTCTCAATCTCCTAGATTGGACACTAGAAAGCTTTCAGTTCTACAAACACAAGAAATGAAGACACTTACCATATTGAGGGCAATTACACGTGCTATGTGCTGCAAATCTTCTTTACCCCCTCCTACAATGTCTTTGTGCCTTAAGACAAACACAGCAACTGATCCAACCTGAATCACTATAGCTGATTAGAAATCAAAGATAATAATGAAAAGGAGTAACATGTCAGTTTTCTACCTTCTCTATTCGGAAAACAAAAAATTAGTAGGTTTCATGGGAAGGAGAATGAAGGGGCTGGAAGGGTGTACTCTCAACTTTTTCAACAATCATCCCATTATGTCAAGTTGTCACGTATATTATTTTACCTAGCTTTTTCACTTTTCAGCAGCGGGAAGGGTGAAGATTCTTGGACAAAGAGGGAGATATTGTGAAAGGGATATCAACATTCTACACTAAGCATGTAACTTCTCAAAACTACAGATTGGATCACCTACCAGGATAGCTTCAATTCTGGTCATATATATCTATATATACAACTATAGCAGTTGATGAACACACCATAAGGCAGATGATAGAGTGAATTTGTGGGAAATAAAATAATGAAATAACTTACTAGTCCAAAAATTGCTCCTGATGCACCTACTGCCGGCATTCTGCAGAACCAATAACTCATAGCGGAACCTGATTTTCTAGAAATTATGGAATTAGCATACTTGGAGATAAGAAATTTCATTGGTTATGGTAGAGAGAATGTGAGCAGTTACTTGCAATTGCAGAGACAAAGTAAACTGCAAGAAATCTTCGTGGACCACTGAAGCTCTCCACAGTAGGACCAACTGAATTTAAGGAATAACAATTTACCTGCACAATTTAATTTATGCATTTTAATATTTAAAGTTAAACAAACCAGTTATAATAAAAGGAATTTCAAACAATTAAATTCAAACCCAACCAACCATAAGGTGTCCAACATTTGCATGCAAAAAGGAAGAGGTGGCAAGTCTCCAAAGTTGTCCTTGGTCAATGAGACTGTTAATCTAGTAACATAAACAGCTCACATGTAAAGACTCCACAACATTTAGAACAAATATTCAGATTCTTAGCAGTAAAGTTACCTTTGCTCCCCACAATAATAGCTTGCCTTGAGTTGCAAGTTGTGCAATATAAAATCTGCACAAATAATTAGTAAATAATAAGCCATCTTAACAAGTTGTATGAAAATTAAAATAAATAAGTAACATCAGCCAATGACATTAAAAACAGAAAAATAAAGAACCATAAATAAGAGTACACCATCATCAGAAGTTAAAGGTTTACAGCACTATGAACACAAAAATGTCATAAGCTTAATATACCATTCAAGGGAATATGCTTATACTCACAAAACATTGGCAGCAAGGAGAATATCTGTCCATTTCCTTCCATTATATGGATTTTTCCCAGACATCTTGGAGTTAGACATCCCAGCGTTTCCAAAGCGAGTTCCATTTCCTCCCCCGTTAAAGAAAGAGAAACTAGTTGAACATGAGGAAGTCAAATCATTACTGGAAAGTTGAAGAGAATTCAACCCTTCGAGTTGAAGGCATCTTTGCCACCATTTATCCTTCAATCTAAACACGTGATTTAAAGGAGCAAGTTTCTGTTCAACAAAGGGGACAGAGGAGAAGTCAGGGAGCACCACCACAACATCAAAAAAGAGACCCAGTGGTCAAATTCACATAAACCAAAAATACAAAAAGAAGATTGAGAAACCACATCCACAAGAGAAAGCTTCTTCTACCAGAATGAAGCATGTTATTGTTCACTGTCATGAAGATTCACATAACTGAAAAAACAATCGAGTATACATTTCAAACACCATAACCTATCCATATTTCCATCATCAGCATTGAAAGTAGCACGAATCCAGTAACAATATGATTAACTAGGCCCACATGATCATTATAAACGAAATTCTAAAAAGAATTAAGTAATATGATATTTATTTATGACCTTCATTCAATTGGTCCCCATAACCTAAACGAGGAAAACAGAAATAATTCAAAAATTTTCAATCAAATCAAACTCCAGTTTGTTGCAAATTGAAACAAAATTAAATAAATGAAAAGAGACCTTGAAACACGAGTGAAGAAGAACCCCTAGGCGGAGATGGTGGGTGACGCGGCGGCGGAGAAGGTGGCCGAAGTGGAGGCACGCGGCGGTGGCAATGAGATCAAGCGGGTAAGGAGCGGCCTTGCAAACCGGTGACAAAAATGGCTGAGGCACATCCAATCCCACCATTCTCTTTCCACTTCAGAGTTGAGACTCAAAAACGTTTTCAGCAAACTACTTTGTCACCAATAGTTATGTTGCTTGTGCCACCTGTTTCCTTGTTCTTCTCTTTTTCTTTTTCATTTTTCCGTCTTTTGAATTTTACTTACATTTTTTAGAAAAAAAATTACTTTCTTTTTTATTTGTCAAAAGAAATATTATAACATAAATAAATAATTTACAACAAATAATATCCAGCAGAAAATAAAAGCAAAACAAAATTATCATAGCATATCACTTGTCATAGAAAACAATCTTATAAATATTTATGCCTAATACATATACGTACAGTGTAGCTTTTCACATGTGTACACCCAAATAACACAATGGAGTTTTCTTTTTTCTCAATAAATTTATCAAACCCCTTTTTCTTGTTTGGCTACACTCTCTTTGCCTTTTATTTTATCTTTTAAATTTTAATGGACCTATAACCTTAATACGCCCCAAAGCCAGACAACTGAAAGTTAACAAAGGATTACCATTAACATTCTCATTCGAGATTTTTGTGCACAGAGAAAGTAAAAGCAATATATATTTTAGAGAGAAAGGGGGTAAAGAATAAACAAATAGAAAATCAGGACATAAGTGAAGGTATCATTTTGAAATGTAGTTCTTCACCAAGAAGTAAGGTTTCTTTCATAACTTGTGGGCACGTACACCAGAACGAGCCTTCGAGATCTTCTATCAATTTCATTCGTGTCTTCAAATGAGGTGCCATGCACCTTTTACCTGCTTAATAGAAACCAAGTGGAATAATTCTAATATGATAAACCTGGTTTCCGTGTGAGATCTCATAGATGAAGCTATAAAACGAAAAGTGCTCGCCACCAAGAGCTACCTGCAGGTACCTTACGATTTTGTTAGGCTTGAAACTATAATCTAGGTGATATAATACCCATTTGTTTTATGAGAAATTTTGCAGTATTCTGATACCTAATAATTAGCGTTACTAGCTGCTGAATCATTATTACATTATTTTAGATAACCATGTGGTAAAATAAAAAAACAAACAAACAAATATAGCACTAGTTAAATTATATGTGAAACATTGTTTAGTTAGAGATTTTGTTTGATCTTACCTCTGCGATCACGAACATGATGTTCTTGGGAATCAAAGTAGGACTGCGTCCAATCTAGGACTCTACGGATAGGCCAGAACGAAGCCACTTGGCTCCAAATCCAGTTCAAGCTGCTTGTAACATCCTCAAACCCAAAGCTCTCCTCATAATTATTCTCATTTGGGAAGCGGTAATTATTAGCAGTAGCAATATCTTGTAGCTCATAGCGGCAAACTGGGCAAGTGTTGTGCATGCGCAGCCAAGGGACAACGCAATCAGAATGGTAGTAATGCTTGCATGGCAACTCTCTCACTTCCATGTCAAGCTGAAACTCATCTTTGCAAATTGGGCAATTGGGGTCACTTGCCAAATCGGCTTGTGTCAATTTCACCATTGGCAACGCTGCAATGGCTGAAGATGTAGCTGGAGGTGGCCCTGGCCTATTGTTCTGAACAATCCCATCATTAAACCCATCTAATATATTGTCGAAAAAGGTGCCGTTGACTTGTGGAAGTGGAACCAAGTTTTGTGGTGGGGAAATAGGCCTAGTTGGACGAGTTGGCCTTGCAAATCGTAGGGTAATCCAAGCCTGTGGATTTGGACCATCTTCAGTTTCCGTTTCCCATTGTGTTGTTGTGTTAAAATGGTTGTTTTGCCTCCTTGGAGATGGATCAAGAAGGAGAGCCAAGTTGTGCATTAACTGAGTAGCAGGAGAAGGTTCCAAATTATTGGGCACGTTCATGAGAAGCCTTGGCCTTGATATATCAAGCTCATAACGCAGTCGATGGAAGCAATAGGGACAAAAAGAACCATCAGGGTTTATAGAGGGTATCCTCACAGTACGTCGGCAATATAGGCACCAGAAATAGTGATAAGTTCTTGTTCTTCGAACCCCATCAATGACAATACGATGACGGCTTGTTAGAGACATGGAGAGAGAGTTGTGTTTTTGTTGGGATGAAAAAGTTAGTGTGTATTGAGGAAGAAGCAAGCAAGAACGTGGAACTATTTATACTATACGTGCATGGTTTTCATGAAGGTTAGAATGGATGAAAGGGATGGCTTTGGAATTTGGATTGGAGGCACAAGAAAGGGATTCCTTTGCCTTTGTTACTATTGACATCTGCTTTGGTTCTTCATCAAATGTTTTTCTTTACTTTTCTTCGTGAACCGTGTTTTCCCTTAACAAGGCAAACGATGCTTGAATGATAATGGGAAGTTACAGTGCTTTTGGTTTCCTTGAGGATTTGAACTTAACAGAATGCCATATTAATAGATAATATACTCATCATTCCTTGATGGATGTAGTAAAGTAATGGCAACCGTCAAAGAAAAGTAAGTGCGTTGACACAAACTTTAAGCGTGGGACCCTTTGCCGGATTTCCCGGCAAGAATGGATTTTGTGTAACAAAAACACTAAAACCCTCAAAATTAAAAACATATGTTTGACATTTATCTAACACTTGTTTATAATTAGATAATATTCACATATTTTTGTTAAATACTGTGGCTTATCTTTTATCTATTAAATTTTATGTAAATTTTATTAATAATAAAATTGTGTTGCGGATATTTTTTTAAACATAGGTTACTTGATGTTTCTTTGGAGTCGTGAGCTTTTTAAAGCTTGGAGCATCAAATTGATGTTAATATGAACATTTTAGTTATCCTTCATTTGATGATTGGATTAAAAATATATTATTCAAGCCTAGAGCATATCTTTTTCTATTTTTTTATCGGACATTATATTTGTTAATGTGATGACTTTAAAGTCTTTTGACAATTTATTTAGTATGACAAATAAAATGAAAATAAAAAATAGAAAGAAAGAATATGAATAAAAAGTGAAGTTTAATTTTATTTTTAATTCTCATATTTTATTTTATGTATGATTTCAGTACCTTTGATTATAATTCCGCATATTTAGTCTTTATGATTTTTTAATTATTTAAATTATTTTTTATCCAAATATTTTATTTAATAATTAATAAAAAAATATTATAAGATATAATATATTATTCATTTGTATAAATTTATAAATAAGAGTATGTGAATTCTAAATAAAAAAATAATTTTATTATATTTTTTAAATTATTAAATGAGAAATTGGAGTAAGAAATTTAATGTAAATATTTAAAAATTAATATAACTAAATATGAACAATTAAAATTAAAAATATAAAATTATATATAAATAAAAATGCAACAAAATTAAAAAAGTAAGTGAAATTTTAAGTTGTTTGGTACTGTGTATAAAATAAAATAAAAAAATAATGTTATTATAAAGACATTCATATGTTTTGTTATAAACTACTTCAAACGAAGAGACTAAAAATATTAAAAATAAGAAAAAAATGAATAATAATTATATCATTGTCTATTCTTTCTTTCTTTCTTTTTTAACACTTAAGGGAGGAAATAATTTAAGCTCAATTTGGTAAAATATATTAGAGTTGTTTACAAAAAAATTAATATTTGATAAATTAATTGACAATCTATAATTGACAAAAAAAATTTATAACTTTATAAGTAACTGATTAAATTAAAGTTGTTTAATAAAATCAACTTAAATATATTAAATAACTAAAAATGATATGAAATATTTATTAATATAATATTAAAATTAAATTAAAAGAGATATTTATGATTTGTATTTATATGTAATTTATTTAAAAGAATAAAAATAAACATGAAGTAAAATTATTGATAGTTATAAGTTAAATATTATTGACAAGTTTTTAACTTTAAAAAGCTATAAGTTTATTCTATTTTTCTGTTGTTAAATAACTCTAAAAGAATTTTAAAAAAATTAACAGTAAACTCTTACATAAATTATAAACTTGTATTATCAAAAATATCTTTAATGTAAGTCTCATGAAAATATTTTCTTTTTCTTTTGTTTATATGATGATCTAAACTGAAAAATAAATTTGTTCTTATATATTTTTATTAATCTCTTCTTTACATGTTTTTGCATAATAAATCAAGTACTTGGTTTTTCAGTTCTTTTGTTGGTATCAGTTATTATTAGTTAGGATTCAAATGTAGCAAATTTACTTTATACTTTTGGTATTTGGGGAAGTAAATAATTGTTAAAGAAAAGGAAGGAAGTATCATCCAATATCATATAACTATCAATCTTTTAGAACAATATTTTTTCACCGTGAATACAATTTTAGATTAGGTTGATTGATGATTAAGTTTGGTTTCAATCCAATAATTCATAGTTGAAACAATTTTAACCTTACTAACAACGTGAGTCATCTTTGTCTAAAGATCTCGTTTTCTAGTTCAAAAAATTTTGGTTAAGATTTGTAATGGGATGAATAGGTGGGTTAAGATAGTTAAAACTTGGGTGAGACACAAAAATTGAATGGACTTTCTAAAACATCAACAATTAGTGGACCAAAACAAATCTTACTCCAAAATGCAATGGATGCAAATTTTCAAGTAATCCAACAAGTTCTTATTATCATGTCCTAAAGAGATACAACTAACGTTTCCTTGAGAATAAAAGAGCTTCTTCGACCCAAGCATAAGCTTGGCAATTATGTTGTAAGTGATATTATGCCAGAATGAAGATCTGAGAGCGGTTCCATTTTAAATTAGAGAGCGTTTAGAACTGCTCTAAAATCTTGCGTTATCTAATGTGTTATATTTAAGAGAGTAGTTAAATAACCGTTCTTCAAAGTATAGGTGTAAGATTACAGAGCATTTTTACGTGAAACTGCTCTTTAAAGTATAAATGTAAACCACAAATTTGAAATTTGAAATTAGTTTCTTTTTTAGTTTTCTGTTGCAAAGTAAAATTGATTTATTATTACGTTTAAATCAAAATTTAGAATTGATTTATTTGTGAGTTTTCTTCATTTTTATCACAAATCAAAATTAAATCTTGAGTTTATATGTTTGGTGTTAACCAAACAGTCCACATTTGCATGAACCAAACAAAAAAAAAAGAACAAATTAATAGAATGATTTTTAACGTTAATAGAGAGAAAAAAGAAAAAAAGAGAGAATGGATGATTCATCGTTAACAAAGAGAAGAAGAAAGAAAGAGAGAATGAAGAAGTACCTACAGATGTGAAAAAAAAAAAACTAATTTGTTAGCGCAAATAATATGAAGAGAGCAGGCTAACAAAGAATGAAGAGGTACCTACAAATATAAAAAAAATATAATTGTTAGCGCAAAGAAGATGAAAAGAGCAGGCTAACAGAGAATGAAGAGGTACCTATAGATCTGGAAAAAAAAATCAATTTGTTAGCAAGAGGAGACGAAGAGAGTAGACTAACAGAAAAAGATGAAGAGAACATATGAGAGCAGAAAAGACGAACAAAACTTACAATAAAAGAGACCAACTTTGTTAACTAAGAAGAAGAAATGTGTTTAACGTGTTTAATTTATAAACAAATTTAATGACTTTAGAGAGCAGTTACTAGATAATCACTCTCAAAAGTATAGTTCTAAGAGTGGTTAACAAAGAACTGCTCTCAAAGTCTAAGTTAGTGCTCCAAAAAACTCATTTCTAGGGTAATGTGATATGACAATGTCCTTGGTGGAAATGGTAAGAGCATGATGCTACTTGGAGAAGAAGATAATGGATACCAAGATGAAAACAAGAAGGATGACTGAGTAGGCACAAGTCTAGCAGTAGCAAAGCATGGAGTAGTGAATCCAATGAAAAAGAGAAGAAAGTTTTATAAAATAAAGGGTAAAGAAAATGAGAGAGCTTGAGAGGGAGATAGACACAAGTGAATGAAGGATATTTATACCCGATGAATTTTTAGATAAATATTTATAAAAGAAAAAAGTATAAATAATAAATAATTTTTTTATAAATTAAAAATAAATTATCTCATTACATTTTAGAGAAATTAAATGAGAATTTTTTTTTAAATTTCTCAAAAACATAAAAAAAGTATAATTTATTTCTAACTTATAAAAAAAATTATTAATTTTTTATTCTACAAAAATTTTACCTAATCTATACAATTCCAACATCAATGATGTTGTTAAGCAGCCATCATATCAATATGTAAGATATTCGGTCAGTAAAAAGTATTTTTTATTTAAGCTAACAAAATTTGCTTAAGCAAATTTAGTAAAAAAAAATAATTTTTGCTTAAGTTAAAATTGCAAAAGTGTGAAATTAAATAATAAAAAACAATTGAAAAAAATCCATAGAAAGTACATGACTCTTCATATTATTGACTATCAGCAACACACTCCTTTCCAGATATAGTGAAAAAAAATAAATATGCTAAAACTCCTAGAACTTGTAGTAACAATTATTTTTAGAGAGAAGAATCTCATAGCCTTTGCCACAGGGACACTTAAAATGAATGCTTAGGCACTTCTCAGCCCACTCTGCGTTCACAACTTCTTCAACATATCCTCTATAGTTATTTTTCATTAACATTTGCTTTAAACCCAAGCAACCTTAGATAGGTGTTTGGAGGGCAAGTATACCCATCGAGAAATAATAAAGAGTTCTAAAATAAGTTTCCGAAATATCGTCTCACAAGGATTAATTTTCAATTATTAAGAATTTTTAATTCAATTGTTTGAGCCTAAAAGATGTGAAATTTAATAAGAACCAGAATTTAATTATAAAACTAATTATGAATAAAATAACGCACGTCTTGGTTGAACTTATAGGAGAAGAAACTAAGGCGTATGAGTTTTCTCATTCAATCCTTTATTTTATTTTTTTCATTTAACTCTAAATTTGATTTACTTGTGATTACTAATCATTCATACAAATACTTTTAATACCCAATGATCATGCAATATTAATATTCTTTTCTCTTAATATCCCCAATGATAATGCAAGGCATCAATTAAAGAAAGCATAGAGCACATATGAACTTGTTAATTTAATAACGATTGGAAGAGAAAGATTGGTTTGGTCCACCTAATCCTTTGTCTTGTTTTATCCTAT